GCCTCCCATACTGAGCGGAGCAGTTCATAGTCTAAGCAGAATATAACTGCTGTAATCTTAAAATGACGTCAAAATATAACGGGGAAATTCCCAGTACAGGCTAGATAAGACCATAAAAACCCAGTGCTGTTTGGAAATAAGATACATATTTGCTATAGTGGTTCCAACTGCTCTCTTACCATGGGCTTGAGTCAGATTGAAGGTAACTTGAAATCGTTAAGATAAAGGTTTCTATTTATTTATTTATTTATTTATTTATTATTCACATTTTTATCCCGCCCTCCCCGGAGGCTCAGGGCGGCTTACAGGGCATATTGCCAGATAAAACCATAAAACAATACAAAATATTAAATTACAGCCCTATTTAAAACAGATTTTGATGCCTAGCAAATTCTAAAATTTCTAAAAGCAAGATGACTATCCCTGACCATCCCGTTCTCGCCCATAATGCAGCAACTAGATGTGCATGCCCCATCTTGATGTCCATATATGGGGGATAGATGGTAGCTAGTGCGATGGTGGTGCACTAGTGCACTAATGATGGACTGCTGGTGGACTTCTAATAAGGATATTACGCTGGGGAATATTGTTGATGGGAATAGTGTTTCCAGTACACTTTAAATGGGCAACGGGCAGTGCCAGACCCTGCGCGACTGCAGATTGCTGCTGGGCGGGGCTTCCTATGTTCAGATCTTCTTAACCTGTAGGTACTTCATTCAACTCAGTTTCGGTTGTGTCCCCCCCCCCCCCCCGACCCAGTAATACCACTCTCTGCCAGCAGATGGAGCGCTAGCTCCTCCTTCCCAACGACGGCCCTTTCTAACTTAAAGTAAAAGGTAAAGAAGGAAAGCGATGGCGAACCTAAACAGCATGATAAAAAGTAGAGACATCACCCTGCCAACAAAAGTCTGCATGGTCAAAGCAATGGTATTCCCAGTAGTCATGTATGGCTGCGAGAGTTGGACTATAAGGAAGGCTAAGCGCCGAAGAATGGATTCTTTTGAATTATGGTGCTGGAGAAGACTCTTGAGAGTCCCTTGGACTGCAAGAAGATCAAATCAGTCAATCCTAAAAGAAATCAACCCTGACTGTTCCCTGGAAGGCCAGATAATGAAACTGAAGCTCAAATACTTTGGCCACCCAATGAGAAGGGAGCACTCACTGGAGAAGACCCTGATGCTGGGAAAGATTGAAGGTCAAAGAAGACGGGGACGGCAAAGGATGAGATGGTTGGACAGTGTCATCGACGCAACGAACATGAAATTGAGCCAACTTCAGAGGACGGCGGAAGACAGGAGGGCCTGGCGGGAGATGATCCATGGGGTCGCGAAGGGTCGGACTCGACTGTGCGACTGAGCAACAAAAAAAAAAGGTAAAGGTTCCCTTGCTCGAAAGCCAGTCGAGTCCGACTCTAGGGATGTGGTGCTCATCTCCGTTTCCAAGCCGAAGAGCCAGCGCTGTCCGAAGACGTTTCCGTGGTCATGTGGCCGGCATGACTAAACACCAAGGCGCACGGAACGCTGTTACCTTCCCACCGAAGTGGTACCTATTTATCTACTTGCTATTTCTTGCTTTCGAACTGCTAGGTTGGCAGGAGCTGGAACTAGAGACGGGAGCTCACTCCGTCATGCGGCACACTCGGGTCTCGAACTGCTGAACTACCGCCCTTCCACAGCCTGCAGTTCAGCGTCTTAACCACTTGAGCCACCGCAGCTCCTAAAGGAAGTTTAGCAAACTAATAAAGGGCCAAAAGTTAAAAACATCAATAGGAATGAACAATAGGACACATGTTTATCTCAAAAACATATACGGGGTTTAGACCTACAAGGTTTTTATAAGTTTTTTTTGAAATAAGCATGTATACATTTGTCCATACCTACTGATGTATTTAACTTTTGACCTTTTACTACTTTTCTAAACTTTCCTTGGAGATTTGGAGGTAGAACCTGGGAAGAGTCCTCAGCAAGGTGTTCGGCCATAAGGTCCACCCTCCAAAGCAGCCGTTTTCTCAAGGGGGAGCTGATCTCTGTCATCTGGAGATCAGCTGTAATCTTGGGAGGTCTCCGGGCCTCACCTGGAGGTTGGCAACCTTACTCAGTCCCTTGTCTGTAACGCCTCTCCAAGAAACCCCAGAGTCCCATAAAAAGATTTGCCTGCTGCTCGTTTTGCATACTGGTTATTCTAGCATCCCCCTGACCCTCCAACATAACTGGCCCTCTTCTGAGTCTCATGTGGCTATGAGGAAAGACCGAAGGACCTGGGCACGTTCATTCTGGAGAAGAGGAGGGCGAGGGGGGACAGGATGGCTCTCATGAAGTATCTGAAGGGCTGTCCCTCTTAGAGGAGGGTGGGGAGCTGTTCCTGTGGGCAGCAGAGGAGAGGACTCGCGAGAATGGGTTTACATTCAGGGCAGGAAGGTTTTTGCACAAAAGCTTTAGGGAAAGCTTTTTGACAGTCAGGGTTGTGCCACAGTGGAACTGGCTGCCTCGGGAGGTGGTGAGCTCCCCCTGACTTGCAGTCTTGAAGCAGCGGCTGGACAAACCATGGTCAGGGATGCTCTCGGCTGATCCTGCATTGAGCGCAGGGGGTGGAGCTAGATGGTCTGTCTGGCCCCTTCCAACTCTGTGATTCTATTCTATTCAATCGCAGGCTGCAGTCCTACTTTGGCTGATAATTTCAAATCGGTTCGTGATCTTCCCTGCTTCGCTTTCCTTCTCTGCCTGTTGTCAGCCGTGCAAGTTTGCTTCTCCCTCTCCTCTTCCCCGTCTAGACGCTCCCAACCCCCTTGGCCTTTCATCGCCCCTCCCGGCCTGCCCAGCACTCTCGGCCAAAAACTACCGCCTGGGCCAAACCCTTCGGTGCCGTACAATACAGAAGAGCGG